ACTAGATCTGGACGCCTTATGTCTGATCTCTCTCGTATGAAAAACATGCCTGACATCCTCCAACGACACGTTTTCTTTACCATCAATGAAATTCTCATATGAACTCGGCAAAGTAACCAGCAAGATTAGGGGCATCATCTTCATCATCAAATTCAACATCTATATTACACAGATCCAGCAAAATAGAGTTAAGTTGTTCGAGGTGTTCCCTCAAAGGCGTACCTTCTTGCATCCTCAAGCTGAACAATCGTTGCTTGAGATGCAGCTTGTTGGTTAGGGACTTCGTCATGTAGAGACTCTCCAACTTCAATCACAAGCCCGCGACAGTCTTCTCAATGGCGACTTCAATGATGACGTCATCAGAAAACGATAGCATTACGGTCGAGTGGGCCTTCTCCTCCGAGGTACTCCACTCCTCGTCATCGATCCCTGCCTTCTTCAGTTTCTCAGACAGCGGATCTCACAGCCCTTGCTGTTTCAATAGTGCCTGAATCTTGATCTACCATATACCAAAATTGTTCTTCCCCGTGAACTTTTCGATCTTCATGTTTATCGATGTCATTCTTCATAATCGAAACCCTAGCCTGATTTTTAGTTGCGAGTCTGATACCACTTGTTATAACTGCGCTGCTACGGATAGGAAAATCGCTGGAATCGACAAAACAAGAACAACGAAAACTGAAAGCACACAACACATGATTTACATGGTTCACTAACACAATGTGTGTTAGCTAGTCCACGGGCAGGAGAGCCAGTTTCACTATACCGAGGAGATTACATATTACAGAGGAGTATGAGAAGTATATATAGTACTTCTCCTAGGTCTAGCCCTAATCCAATCTGGTAAAGGGAAAGCAGTTACAAACAGACCCAGAAACCGAAACCAAATAACATTGAGCTTGTACACCAAGATTGATAGTTCGATTCAAGTCACATCAACATGACCTATGTCCACTTTGTGGCAGTATCCCAAAAACAAGAGACCTCCTATTTTTCCTCTGCAATTACTTAGAGAGTGTGTTGTGAACTATATTCTCGGTTGTGTATTTAAAGGGTGGGTGCTGGAAGGATTTAGTAGATAAAGCAAGATTGTCTTTTGGAAGGCTCCAAAGTTTTTCTTGAAAAGAACTTTGTTGGCCGTAGTTGTGAGTGAGCTCTGCAGAGAACGTTGCAAGAGGTTGTATGCAAGCAAGCTGTTCATAGTGTCACAATTGCTAGACAGAATCTAGGATTCCCTATAGCTATAAATAGCCAGCTCTCAAAAGTTTGCAGAAGCTGTCTGATGTGATTCCACACAACAGAGACCCCCGACCGGAATTGTTCAATTCCCCGACCGGGGAATCAAGATGAAGACCGAGGAATGAGGGCAGAAGGGCTCCCAGTTAGTTGCATTTAAATCCCCGACCAGTGATTGAGATCGGGGATCGGGCCTGGACTAGTTTAGTTACCTATTTTGTTTAGAATTCTTTTTCCTTTTATGTTTTCTCATTGGTTTTATTTTCCAGACCTACTTAAAGGGGTGTAAGACATGAATTTGAGAAGATTATGTAGAATAGACAACCTTTTTAGTTCATTGAGTTTTTACTCTTGAATTTGCTCTTATGGATTGGTGGACTCCAATTTCCTGAGTATTTGTGTCGTATCAATCAAGTAATCACCTTGATTGTGGCCGAGCTTCTACCCTCATATTGATAGAGCCTTCTCCTAGGTGTGAGATTGTACTTCAATCCGCCTTATCCTTTTTACATTTTCGGGGAAATTTTAGAAAATCCTAACAAGATTGTGACTACGCGACTTTGATCAAAAGAATCTAGACTTTACGAGTTTGGGATCTTATCACTTTCACTGCTTCCGCTCTGTTTGCCAACTAGGGGATGCGAATTCGAGAGGATGCAAGTTGAGGCGGAAATTACAGAGGGTGTAAATTGGTGGGGTGTGCAAGTGGAGGGGGAAATTTTTGTTTGAAATGAAAAGGTAGGGGTGAAATAAGGTAAAAAGTAAGTAAATTATATAATTATAAAATAAATTTATCAAATTTGTAAGAGATTATGAAAAAATAATAAAATATTTATATAATCATCATAAACATTAATTAAAATATTTTATAAAAATAATTAAATTGTAATAATTAGTGGTTGAGCAACTTAGAAACTTGAAATTGGTGATCCTACAGGGTTTTCGGGCTCGGTTTAACTTTAAATTGGATTTCGTCAAACACATTCGAATCTGTAAGTTTTAACTTTTCAAGTAAACTGAGTTAACCAAATCCTTCCTCTCTTTATTATGTAAAAGACACATATAGATACTACTAAATGCACATTTAAGTTAAGCAAATATCAAACAAGTACCAACAAAAAAGTTGTGACTAAATTATTTGCTTAATCGGGTATATGCTTTAAACTAGTTTCACAACTAAGTTGGCAATAGGTTGGATTGGAGCCAGATAATGGATATCCAATACCCTCCCATCTAAGTTTCGAGCAGGTATCGAGTGGAAACATATGTTGGAACAAATACCATATCTCTTTCCATACTCATACCAGCGGATAACGGGCGGCTATCCTTACACCCACTAATATGTTACAATATAACCTCTAGAATTTAATATAGTCAAGATCGTTAAAATTATTAATTTATAATAGTTATTAATTAATCAATAAATTAATAATTATTAACTGAAAAAGGTTTTTCTTATTATGTACATTCATCATATCATCCAAACATTCAAGTTCATACGATAAATTATCGCATTTTATGTATTCATTATACTAAAATTTAATATAAGAAAATTATTTATTCTTCCAAGATAAATGTATTCCATGTATTCTTGCAGATGGTCTAAATTCATGTTTTAAATTACTTGCACCACTATATTCATTGATCTTACATTCAATATTATTCATCGAATATATGGTGACCTGATCACTATAAATAGTACTACAGACACATTGTAAAAATCATATTTAGCAATGGCTTCTCATTTGAAAGGTGTCCAAAAGTCCACCACTACCGATCAAATACGTAAACAGTTATGTGAGTACAAGAGAGATCATCCCTCATGCACCCAAAAAGATGTGATGGTGTAGCTTGACCAAACTTTTCATTTGAAAGTTAGAAAGATGAACTTCTATTAGACTTGAACATCAAGAATAAACAAACAACTATATATTCATATTTTTCAAGATTATTCTAGCTATATTATAAATTTCTAAATGAATTGTATTTTTACAATTATTAATTTATAGAGTTAAAAATACATTTATTTATGTAGGTTGGTTCTCAAAAATTATTATTTTATTAAATATCACTACAAGAAAACTTGGCTTTGGAGACAAATAATTAGAAACAAATAGTGCATTAGTCTCTATATCTAATTTATGGCCGCAAATGTATTATTTGTCTCTCTATCTCATATTATTTGTCTCTATTTCATAATAGGAATTTTTTATTTACATAAAATAATAGTTTTAGAAGCAAATATAAGTGTATCCTAAACTTAAGTTATATAGAAACAAATCTAACAACTTTTAGAGACAAATACAAATGTTACATATAGTGTTGTTATATAGAGACAAATGAAATGCTTTTAGAGAGAAATATAAATGCTTTATAATTATGAAAAGATAAAATGTGAAGATAGATATAACTGTATCTAAACATATTTTGCGTTTTAAGTAAATGAACTAAGTTTTACAATTAGGAACAGATACAAGAGCACTTCTACTATGTTATATAGTATTGGTGCTTTAATGTACAACTTAAAGTTGTACCATAACATTAAATGTATAAGTTTAGGTTGTACCATAAAACAATTTTTACCCTTATGTTATGGTACAACTTTACAAATTGAAGTTGTACCATCACATAAAGGTACAAGTTTAAGTTGTACCATAAAAGAATTTGTACAAAAAGTATAGGTACAATATGAAGTTGTACCATAACGTATATGTACAATTGTAAGTTGTACCATAAAAACTAAAACCTATAGCACCAATACTATATAACATTGTAAAATTTCTCCAGATACAATTACTACTAAAAGTGATTATACATAAAGTTAATTAAAGATAATAAATATAATTCAGAAAATTGAAAGCAAAAAAAAAGGAAGAGAGCTTTTTCCTCTCTCACATTTTGGCGGGTGGGACTTAAATTTTGGTTCGATTCCAAATTCTAAAACCTAAAGCGCGCGAAGTAAAAAGTTTTGCAAGGCAAATTAATTAAACCTAATTACAAATTCCCAAACTCGTGTGACTGTTTGCCTTCCCTGTGTGACCGTGAACCCTTGAACAAAACCGAAACCCAAGCCTCTCACTCGTATCCCCCATCATTCCTTGCAGCAAACCTCATACAACAAGGAAGTACGAAAAAAGGCGCCGTCGAGGGTCTGCGACTCCTTGCCGGAGTCTTCCCCGTGCCAAGCCCCGTCGTTGGACCCGACGCTACGGTCGATTCTTTGCCCGGTTGCGGTTCGCTTCTTGAGCGGCGTGAAGAAGTAGAGATCGTTCTTCTCGTCTCTGTCGTCTTCTTCTTCGTGGGTCCCTCCAAACTACTTCCAGATATCCCACGGCTCCAAACTGCAGTCCTTGATGTAGTCATCGGAGGGGAGCGGGAACCCGATCAGCTTACTCAGCAAGTAATTCTATATGCTCTCGTATTTGGTGAGTGATTTTGATTTCTTTTTTAGAGGTTGCTTCTGCAGCATCCTGCCGCCGCCTGCGTTTATTGTTTTGGGGGACGGGGCGGGTTTATATCAATTCGTTTATTGTTTTGTTCCTGCGTTTCCTTTTGTTTTCATTCCTGCGGTTTGCATCTTGTCTTTTCATTTTCTTTTCACTTTTTATGAGCAGTGAAGCATGTCTCTCCAGAAATCCAAGTCAACAGCAGGGGCACCCGCAACCTCTGATCAGAATACCTCCACTATTGTTATTACAAGACAAGATGCTCAGGACCCTAAGAAAAACACACGAGGTCCAACTATGTGCATGCCAATTTGGGCTATGCAAGCAGGGGAGCGGATTCAAGTTACAATTAACGATCTTGGGCAGTCCACGGGTGAGGGTGCAACGAAATTGGCAACTTTTCTTGGTACTATAGCACGCACAACAGTATATGCACCTCTACGTTATGAGGATTGGAGGCTTATGCCCAAAGATTACAAGATTACCATGTGGAAGATGGTACAGGTAATATGTCTTAGTATTGCATGAATCCATTAATGTGAGCTTTATTTTTACTTTTACTGAAATAATAATTGTAGGAAAAGTTTGACGTGGACATGTTTCTTCAAGATTGGGTCTTGGCCTCTTTGAATAAGAACAGGGGGAGTTTTAAGTCATTTGTGAAATCTGAATGGGTTAACAAGAAAAAGAAGGATAAAAGAGTATGTGATGAAGATAGGCAATGGTTGTTAGAATTTTGGAGCACGGGAAAAGCTGAGGTGAGTAGTTTCTCGATAACTCTTTGGTAGCAAGCTTATTTATATTTATTTTGGGTTAAAGTTTTTTAATCATATTCTCTCTATAGAAACGTTCAGCAGTGGGTAAACAGAATAGAATGAACATGATATCCCCTCATACACTAGGGAGGAAGAGTTATGCTCGTTTCAAGGAAGAGGTGGTAAGTAAGAATATCACTATAAGTAGTATGATGATTTTGTTCTTGCTAACTGATATGTATATATGTAATGTATGTATACTGTCCAGAAAGCAAAAAAACCAGACAAGTCGGAGCCGACTCGGGCCGAACTTTATATTTTAAGCCATGTACGTCCAGATGGGAAGCCACTTAATGATAAAGTTGTTGAGATCATTGTAAGTACTACTGAATTTCTTCAATACTATTTATTTCCCTTTTTGTGTCCCATATGAAGTATACAAGTTGTTGGTTTCAGGACAAAGTGAAGGAAAAAATGCAAACAGAATCTTCAACTCCACATGATTGTTCTGGACCAAGTGACATATTATCACAAGTGCTAGAAGACAAACCTTATTACTCGATAGCATATGGATTAGGACCCAAATGGGGCGTGAGGGATTCTCGTTACTCAATTATGAAGAAAGCACTGAAGGCCAAAAACAACGCTGAAGATAGAGCACAAAGGGTGGAAGACAAATTTAACAAAGTCCTCGCTCTGCTACAAAAGAACAATCCAAATATGAATTTGAATGACAATATAGATTCACCAAATGATGAGGTACGCTGCCATTACCCATTCATTTCCTCTAGTGTATTGTTTTCAGTGTTTTGATATTGATAAACAATTGTGTAATTGTAATTTCTCTATGTTGTAGAATGATAATCTTATTGTTGAAGAGAATTCTGATGAGTTAGGAAGTAGCCCAATACTTCCCATGTTGCAATCATCAACTGTAGTACCTGAAACTCCAGCTCTAGATGATGTAAGTTTGCATATAAATTATTAATTGTCTGAAATCATAATTCTAGTGTGGTTACCTTGATGATTTTCTATTCTGTTTTATCAGGTTAGTATGGTTGATGTTTATTTGCCTATGCTTCGAAACAACTCGTCTAAAGGGGGCTCTTCCGGTGTGGAAGCTAATGATGTGCATACATTCTTCGATTACATGATAAGCTCATATCAAGTGAGAATTTTCTCTTTATTATTTTGTTGTTGCTACTGGAAATAGACAAATGAAAGGTTTCCTACTATTCCATAACTCAAAACTTTTATATTTGATAGAAAAAAGACACGCCTGCACAAGCAAAAAAGATAAATGGGAGTAACATTGGTGATGATGACTCATATAGTTGCGCAGAGGTATGGCTCTTTAAACTCCTAAGTAGTACAAGTTATCTAGTATCCATAGGGTCATTCATGTTAACACCACATCATTTTTTTGTTACAGGGAATGTCATGTGTTATTTTGCACAGTTTACATGATCCTGATGTTGAGGTAGCAAGAGGAGGTATTGTAAGCAAAAATCCACATTGTCGTGTAGGGGATCAAGAATTGGGAAAAGGTTTCTGTGAAATATTTGTTGAAGTTGCAATTATGCCTGATGAGCCCTTAGTTCGACCATATGCAAGCTTTCAAACTATTCGAGATGCGGTAGCAGAGTCGATCGCTTGGCCATCACGCTTTGCAAGTTAATTGAAGAAAGCTTTTGTGAATTTCATTTACTTCTATGGTACGTAGCTAATTTGGTTTATATATATGTTGTTCATGTGCAATAGGTGAAGAAGGCCGGCGTTGTTAAACCTTTATGGTGAAGATTATCTTAGTTTAATGGACAATTTTCGTTTCATATTCCGACTTTGTCGTTGTTGACGGAACAACTACATACATTTTGTTTCTCTATTTTATTTTTGTAAGAATTTGGTGTTAGATGGATTTTAATGTCTATGGATATAATTAATAGTCAAATTTTGGGTCAAATTACAAATGCTTTCCATCTTCTGTATAACAAGCAATGATAATTGTCTCCAAAAGCATGTATAACACATAGTTATTTACCTCTAAACGTTAAAGGTAATATCAATTAAATATGCCTCCAAAGAAGACTATTAGAGACAATTATATATGTCTCATAAATGTTCTAACAAAACATATTATTTGTATGTATAGATAAAATTATTTGCCTCTAAATGTACCCATTAGAGGCAAATACACTTGTCTCGGAAATTAAAATTACAAATAAATGTATCTCCCTCCAAAAGTAAATAAGTAGGAATTGAAAATAGAATTACCAACAAAAATATTTTCCTCCAATTCCATTATCAGAGATAGATATTATTTGCATCAATATTTGTCTCTAAAAGGAAACAGCAACAAAGGAATATGCAACAAATAATGTATCTGCGTCGAAAGACATACAAAAGCAAATAAGTAGCTTTTAAATGCAAATAACCTCTCCCTCCAAAGCCAACTTTTCTTGTAGTGTATGCTCATTTTTACATTGGCTCAAGTCCAGATCGAAGAAATTATTAATTTATACTAGGTTATTAATTTATCAGTTACTAATTTAAAAAGGTTATATTGTATATACCTAATCATTCCATTGTTCCATCCAAGTCACCTACCTCGTAAAACTCCATAAAACTCCTAAAAAAAATTACACTTATGGAAGCCATTGAATGATTCAATCCTTTCTATTATATATCTACGTCTCTTGGAAAGTTATTACTTTTAGGGTAAATACAATTTAATATCCAAACCTTTCATTTTAAAAAATATAATAGCCAAACCTTTTCGAAAACAATCTAATATCCAAATTGTCAACTTTCTGTCTGTTTGACCGTTAGTTGACACTTTAAAAAAGTTCGAAGTACGACACTTCATCAATATCCATCGATATCTTCTCTGAAAAACCACCAACATATCGTAGTTCCATACCCGAGAAGTCCATGACTCCACCATGATGGTATAGAATATCTAAATATTCAGTCTGCAATGCCAAAACAAGAAAATAAAGTTGTATTGTGACAATTTCCCCTAAACAAAGCTTTTTTGAAGTGTCAACTAACGGTCAAACGAACGGAAAGTTGACGATTTGGGTATTAGATTGTTTTCGAAAAGATTTAGCTATTATATTGTTTAAAATGAAAGGTTTGAATATTAAATTGTATTTACACTTACTTTTATTATAAAGATTAAAGAGACGAGAATAGGTGTTATAGCAGAACAAAATAATTGACATATTATTTGTCACTTTTCCATCAACAGTAAAACAAAATTTTGGCTTTGAAAAAAAATTTCATTTAATCTGGGAAACGGTGTGGTCTGGTCCAGACCAGACCATATATACGGTCTATGGTTCAGACCGAGAGGCTGAAGTATAGACCACAAACCAAACCATAGACTATACGGTCCGGTCCAGATCACGACTGTGCGGTCTGGTTCGGTCTGGTCTGGTCCAGATATACCACACTCAACGAAAAATGAATAATTTGTTTAGTCTACCACAAGAAAATTGAACCAATACCAAGAGAAATAATTGTTATTTGCCTTAAAATATTAATCCTAACATGCATGAATAATTTTGATTCCATAAATCTTAGTACATAACAAAGATACAAAGTAAAAACATCCCAACTTGCACTATAACGTCATAAACATTAACATAATGCCATATGGAGACGCAATTATCTCTACTCTCTGGTTAAATGTGGTTGTGAATGAAGGAGGGACGTGATTCACAAAACTAAGGTTGATACTTGGGTGTTGTTGTGGGAGTTGGGAGAGTGGTCGAATGAGCTGTTAACACGTATTGACAAGTTGATTGGGTCCACGGTTTAGTCTGGTAAACCGCGGTCTAGACCAGACCAGACCAAAAGATCAAAACATAAAATAATACAGACCGTGGACCAGACCAGACAATACTTAACGGTCTACGGTTCGAACCAAACTGTACGGTACGGTTTGGATCCACGGTTTTTCAACAGTATGGTCTATTTTCCCAGCACTATCGTCCACCACTTCAGTTTTGGCGGACGGTTCCCCAAGGGAATTTTAAGGGCTGAGATTAAAGCCACACTTTTTCTAGGGTCCGGATTTATTTCGTTTAAAAGTGAGTGGAAGCTGGGGCCTTTCTCTGAAAAGCAACGGAAAATGGGTCAGAACAACTCCTGCCACGGCTCACTAATCCTACTCTCGTTTCGGCTCTAAAATTTCTTTTTTCGTTTACCGCCTCCTCGTTTTCGCGGACTAAACTCTCAAAATTTCATCCTCAGATTGTGAGATTGAAATTCAAAGTTCGAATCCACTAGATAAAATTTAGGAACTCTCTCCCTCTTCTCTGCTGCATACTCGCTCTTCTCTCTAACTCTTCTCTTCCGACTGAAAGCCCCACCATGGTCGAAGCCAACAAGAAGCAACCCACAGCCCAATAACGGTGGAGACTGGAGCCACTAGAGAAAGAGAAACCCAGTCCCAGTAAATAAACGAGAAGACGAGGCGAAGGAACCACCGGATTTGAGAGACAGAGCCAGCGATTTTGTTGCTCGAGATTTAGCGAGGGATGTCCTCGATTCTCTTTCTTGTCCCTCAGGGAGCGGATCGTGTCAGTAACTGATGGGTCAGTAACCTATCAGTAACCCATTCTCTGATCTCCACGTGTCAGTCCACTTTTTTATTTAAATTAAATGCGGAAGGACAGTAAGGTAAAATGCACTTATCCCCTATTTATTGCTCACGCGCTGACGCGCTGACTTTTGACCAACCACATCAGGACCTCCTTCTCTCTCATCGAAAAACATTTAATTTTACTTCTCTTAATCTTTAACGGACGATTTCTCACTCGTTTTAAGTCAAAATTTAATTTTTTTTGCACAGTTAGATCAGATTAATTATGCTCTTCAAAATGATATCCACTTTGATATTTTTTTGACACAAAATTTTTTTCCAGTTATTACCAGTCTATACCATATGGTATAGTGTGGTAATATCAATATATATTTCGTTATCACCCAATACCATATGGTATAGTGTGGTAATATCAATATATATTTCGTTACCACCCAATACCATATGGTATAGTGTGGTAATATCAATATATATTTCGTTGCCACCCAATACCATATGGTATAGTGTGGTAATATCACACAATACCATATGGTATAGAGTGGTAATATCAATATATATTTCGTTACCATGCAATACCATACATTACCATAGGATATAGTGTGGTAATATCAATATATATTTCGTTACCACCCAATACCATATGCTATAGTGTGGTAATATCAATATATATTTCGTTACCACCCAATACCATATGGTATAGTGTGGTAATATCAATATATATTTCGTTACCACACAATACCATATGGTATAGAGTGGTAATATCAATATATATTTCGTTACCACGCAATACCATACATTACCATAGGGTATAGTGTGGTAATATCAATATATATTTCGTTACCACCCAATACCATATGGTATAGAGAGTCATAATATCAATATATATTATCTAAAAGAAAAAAAAACAGAAGGAGGGAGAGGGAAAAAACTCATCTTCTATTTCGTCTCATTTCCTCCGCAATCAAGAACACCAAAAGCCAAAAAAGGGAGAAAGACCGAAATTGAGGCCAACGAGTTGATGAAGAGACAAAAAACGCAATGAAAGAGGGTGGCTGCAAATTTTCTTCGTCGATTACTGGAGAGAAAAAAACGAAAAAAGAAGAGAAGGAAGCAGATCTAGATATGGAGAAAGAGATTGGAGAGAAAAAAAAGGAACAGAGAAAGAGAAATGATAGATTGAGAGAGAAAAAAGAAGAGAGAAAGAGAGAAGAGAGTTGCAGAGAAATGATTCTCTCTCCTCCTTTGAAAAAGCATCCATTAAAAGTGGTCTCCTTTTTTTGAAAAAGCGGTCATTAAACTTGAAATATAATAAAAATAAAAATTTATAAACGGACAAAAATGCCCTTCTAGACCCCGCATTCAGCCCAGCCGCATGGTTGATCCACCCCTAGATCTACGGTCCTAAGGTGGTTACTCACTGGTGAGTAACAAATGGTTACTCACCCTATCTCATGCCGTCCTTTCCCACAAGAAGCAACCCACAGCTCCTTGCCTTTGATGTCGTTGATTCTCGTTCTTTGTCCTTTCCCAGCAATCCTCCCTCCCTTCTCTCCTTCTCGCGCCGGAACTGTTCGCCACCGCCACACTTCCGAATTTCCTACAACCCTATCTCTTCTTCTTCCCGTTTATACGCCTCTGACCAACCGCAGGAGCAGCTTCCTACTAAGTATGCTCCGCTCACTCAGACAAATCGACCCCCTTAATCTCCTTTCCACTTCCAAAGATGAGCTATGGGTCGCCCTACGCCTCCGAGTCCGATCATTCTACAAGCTCAATTCATTGTCTTTGGGCATTGAGGTAAGCCAACCGCCGCCTGCGGTTGAACTTGGAAATTATTCGATTTCTATGACTGAAAGTGTATTTGCGAAATTAAATCGATTTGAGTTTGGAACTTACAGAGTTCTGGTTGTGAAATTAGGATCACAAGTACTTAGTAGAGCGAGAGTATGGAGCGATTGAGGAACTGATTTTTGGGTTACTGCCTAATGTTTAGAAGGCTGTCCTGCATCATTGCCAGTCTGCCTTTGTCTCAATTCACTCATTTTTTCAAATATTTCTGCAACAAATGTAAGGTTCTATGTTCCTTCATTTATACATCTCCGTAAAATATCAACTCTAATTTTGTATAAAAATTGTGGTACGTGGAGAATTTGATTGGTTGTTTCAGCTTCTAATGGAATGTTCAGCTGCTCAGAATCACCTCTTTATGAATGGCTTTGATTTGATTTTGCTGAAGTTCTAGTAATAGCAAGTATTGACTTGACTAGCCTGATTTGCTTCAGGATTCTGGTTTTTTGGGATTGAATGATGGTCAAGTTCAATATGTGTATCTCTTGTATATGCTTTTAGGGACATCGGTTGGCTCTGTGAATGTATTTGAGGGGTTTTGAAGCTCCAGCATTGAAAGAACTTGACTAGCCTGATTTGTTAGAGAATTCTGGTTTTACCTGGTTGAATAGTGGTTAACTTCAATATATGTGATGAAACTAATGAGTTTTTTTTTTTGGTAAAGGTGAAATCATTTATTAAATAAGAGAAACAGGAGAAGGAAAAAAGGAAAGGTTACAGCCCACAAAGGCTCAACAAGTAACCATCCATAGCAACTGCTAGGGGGGAACAAATAGCAAGAAAAGAACAAGAACACCAAAACAGAAAGCAACTACAGATCATAACCAAAAAGCAAAAGGAACCGAAGAAGCATCAAATCCTCCTATCTCGACCAAAGGAGACCTAGATCAGTACTAAAGCATCAGAGGCAGCAACAGCAAACGCAGCAGCTCCACCAAATTACAACAGTAGTGCCGACGCCAACAGCAGCATCGACAGCACAACAGCAGCAGCAGAACATCATCACCTCAGCAAACAGCAAAACAACAAGGCAAATGAGGACAGATCAGAAACACCACTGGGCACCAGAAGTTCAGTGTGGCGGTTCTTGCACAACTCTAGGAACCAGCTGCTCTTTCAACTTCCTCATCCAATCCTCCGCAATGGCTCTGTCAACCATCCCATTAGCACACAACCAGTCTGCCATAGCACGAGCGATTCGAAAGCAGACCACATTCACTGGTTCCTCCTTGTCTCGAAAAATCCTGCCATTCCTTTCCAGCCAACAGTCGCCAACACAGAGCGTGCAAAAACACTTTGGAACACCACTCACAAGGACAACCAAGCTCCTTTTGCTGCCACCTACCGATTAGAACAGATATATCACCATCTCGGTTAATAGGAAGCTTCACAAAACGCCTCATTACTTGCCACACCATACGTGAAAAACTGCAACCCAAGAAAAGATGATCCACATTTTCTTCCTCTTCGTAGCAAAGGGTACACCGGTTTGGCAGCATCCATCCTCGCTTCTTTAGCATGTCTTGAGTCATAATCTTTTTGTGGAACACTAACCAAACAAACACACAGACTTTGAACGGGACAGGCTGCTTCCAAATAAAGTTAGCAGGGAACACGATTCCACTGCTGTAATGTTCACCAAACAGCGAGTCATACATGGACTTCACTCTAAATTCGGTGCTCGGGGATGGCTCCCAGGTTATTCTTGATGGACCTGCAAAGAACAAAGTGGAAGGGATAGTTTGAAGAAAATTTAAAAGAGCAGATCTCTCACCCTCAGCCCCACCTCTAAGATTATACTTTAAATGTAAGTCCCATTAAAGATTTCTCTCCCCAATATGCAAGACATCAGCAATTCGACAGCACGGCAAAGCAGAAGCAGCGACGATCCTTGGAAAGACTTTGGCAAGAGGGGGTTGACCTTTTATCCACACGTCGTACCAGAAGGAAGTCCAAGCTCCACAACCAGCCTCCACCCAAGCTAATTTCCAAAAATCCTTCGAGAGTTTCTGAATTTGAGACCACTGGCTGCAACCCATCGATCCACTAATCTCCCCCGTGCTCCATTCCGATGCTTTATGAGGGAACTTAATGTCGATAAGCTCCCTCCACCATTCATCTCTTTCGTAAGCAAATCTCCACAGCCATTTTGCTAACAAGGCTTTGTTACGCGTCCTCAAATCAACAATTCCCAAGCCACCGGCTTTCTTAGGCCTTTTACAAGTTTCCCAAGACACCAAATGCATCTTTTTCTCTTGACTCCCACCTGTCCAGATGAACTCTTTCTGAATTCTCTCAACCTTCTCAATTATGCTAGCTGGCGCACTAAAAAGCTAGCACTGATAAAGCGGTTGGCTTGCCAAGACTGCATTGCACAAAGTTATTCTACCGCCTAAAGATAGATATTTACCCTGCCACCCTTCTAACTTCTTATGCATCTTCAGAAGAATTGGTTCCCAAATAGCTGTGGACTAGGCTTAGCACCTAAGGGCAGCCCAAGATACACCGTGTGAAGATAGCTCCAATCACATCCAAGGATCCCAGCCAGCCTTTCAATGTTATCCACCTCACCAACCGGGTACAGCTTACTCTTATCAAGGTTGATCTTGAGGCCTGTGATGGATTGAAAGCATAAGAGGGCAGCCATAACATTAAACACTTCTTCTTCCGAGGCATTGCAGAATACAATAGCATCATCAGCATACAACAAGTGAGACACCTGCCCTCTCATGTTCCTTTCATCAATATGGAACCCAGTGATGAGACCCACTTCCTGCATCTTTTCAATTATAAAGGAGAAGACGTCCATGACGATGTTGAATAGAAGAGGAAAGAGTGGGTCTCCCTGTTTAAGACCACGCTCCATGCTAAGAAAACCTGTCGCTTCACCATTTACAAGAACAGAAAATTTTGAGCAAGAAACCAGCCCCATAATCCACTTTTCAAGCTTCACTTTCATACTCATGTTCCTCAAGATTCGCCTCAAACACTCCCAACTAACTGAGTCAAATGCCTTTTCAATATCAAGTTTTAAGATGATCGCCGGCTTTCCACTACGCTTCCTGCTGTCAATTGCTTCGTTAGCAATCAAACTAGCCTCGTGAATTACTTTCTTCTTCTTTCCGCCAAACTGAAACTTCGAGACAAACTTGTGCGAGACCAGCTGTAACCTAGCCAAGACAGCCTTTGAGATAATTTTGTTCATACTCCCAATGAGGCTAATCGGCCGGAAATCTTTCACTTCTTCAACCGCTTCTTTCTTGGGGATCAGACACACGAAAGAGTGTGCAACAGAATGCGGTAGAACACCGCTGAGGTAGAAATCGTCAAAGGCTTTCAGGACATCTGCTTTAATGATGTTCCACGATTTCTTGAAGAAGACAAGGGTAAAACCATCTGGCCACGGTGCCTTATCCCTGTTACACGAACTGATTGCGCTCCACACTTTAGCTTCAGTGAAGGGGACAGTGAGGTTGAGGTTTTCCTCTTGATTGATTAAAGCCGCCTTAAAGTCAACCGGGAAAGGTCTATCCTTCTCGAGCTCAGAAAACCTTGCACAAAATGATTGACAAAGGCCTGTTGGAGTTCCCCTTTCTCCGCGATCATCCTTTCATCAACTCTAATATTCCTCACACAGTTTCGCCTTTTGTTATTTTTTTCTTTGCGATGAAAATAACCAGAATTTTTATCACCGACTTTGATCCATAAGGCGCGAGACTTCTGGCGCCAAGAGATTTCCTCCATCAGCAGCACCTTATCAAGCTCACACTTCACTTTACACCTCTCAAGTTGAAAACTAATGAGTTTCACTGTGAAAGATTTGCGGGGAGCATCAGACCCTTAAGTAAAGGTGAAACTCACTGAAGATAAGCTGCCTAAAATTTAATATATGTTTTCTTCATTCTAAATACATGTTGCATTAATCGTTAATATAACTATGGAATACAAGGTTTGAGAAACCTGAATATGTATTTTCTTGATTTTGAATATAAGCTAGCAAAATGGTGAATTCACCAAGTACATCTATGAAATGTGTTATGCTCATTCTGAATATACTATGTGGAAATAACGAGTACACTTAGGGGTCGTTTGGGAGTTGCGATTGTTAAATAGATGTAATGTTGAGAATGCATGTATAATATTATACATGTATTGTCGAATTTGATGCATTGTAGAATACAATGTTTGGTATGTGTGATTGTGTATGTCGCATCAGCTAAAACCCGAGACAAAACAATCTCAACTCAACTATCTCAACAATCACAACTAAAAGTTGAGATGTAACAATCATTCAAAATGAGTGATAGTTTCTGTCACATCATGGAAACAATCCATGTATTGTTTCTGCTAAAAAAAACAAAAAAAAAATGATGCATTGTAAACAATACATGTATTATGACAATCTCAACAAAACAATCGCAACGTGTAGAGAATATGTGTCCTGCTCATTCCAAATATACGTTTCGAAAATGTTGAATTGGCTTAGAATCACATTCTCATTATGTCAAGAATAATTTTAAAGCCAAATGCTTCGACTCCAACTTTGATGTTAGGATTCCCAGCCCACTTCAAAACAAGATCCATAATCAACTCTATCATCACCAACAGTGTAAGAAAATTCAAGCATCTTACCTCTGATGATAGCTGCCCCAGCTGCGAGGGTACGGCGGAAACGGCCATTCATTGCCTTCGGGACTGTCCGAGAGCCCAAGTTGTCTGGTCAAAGATTATCTCGCCCGACCATATTGGCCAGTTTATGGCGAGTGATAGTGACAGGTGGCTGAGCATATATAACTCTATCATCAGTTATATATATGAACTTTCATTCCAGGATGATGACAAATCAAAGAATAAGCCCCTCCATAATGGATTTTCCCCAAACCCATACAACAATTATTTCGTCTATTTAAGGTAATGTGCAAGGTGAAGGTGTTTTTATTATACTTCATTGCTTAGCTAATGAGGGAAGAGAGAAAAATAATACAAATATCATAATCTCATAACATAAATATAATATTCACATACATAAACATCATAATATTATAATACAAATATAATATATGTATCAAAAAACAACTGACATGCATTTTAAATTGTAGACAACAGAGTTGCATTCCAATTTGTCTCGCCTCTATTTTAACAAGG